ACCGTGTTTGCAGCAGACTTGGCAGTGGGCTATTCCTCGGGCAGGGCGATCAAACAGCTCTTCCAAGTAGGGACCAAGAACTCGCTGTTGATCCTGATCCACGGCTTGCTCTGGAACTGGTTTCATTAAGAGAGTCACTTCATGCTCCTCACTTGGAGCCTGCTGCTGACTGCCTTCAGTCCTCATGGTGGATTCAGGGGCTAACATAGAATCATAGAAGATTAGAGTTGGAAGAGACCTCAGGAGGTCATCTAGTCCAACCCCTTGCTCAAAGCAGGACCAATCCCCAACTAAATCATCCCAGCCAGGGCTTTGTCAAGCCGGGCCTTAAAAACCTCTAAGACTGGAGATTCCACCACCTCCCTAGGTAACCTATTCCAGTGCTTCACCACCCTCCTAGTGAAATAGTTTTTCCTAATATCCAACCTAGACCTCCCCCACTGTGACTTGAGACCATTGCTCCTTGTTCTGTCATCTGCCACCACTGAGAACAGCCGAGCTCCATCCTCTTTGGAACCTTCAGGTAGTTGAAGGCTGCTATCAAATCCCCCTCACTCTTCTTTTCTGAAGACTAAATAAGCAGAGTTCCCTCAGCCTCTCCTCATAAGTCATGTGCCCCAGCCCCCTAATCATTTCTGTTGCCCTCTGCTGGACTGTCTCCAATTTGTCCACATCCTTTCTGTAGTGGGGGGCCCAAAACTGGATGCGATACTCCAGATGTGGCCTCACCAGATGTGTGCCAAATAGAGGGGAATAATCACTTCCCTCGATCTGCTGCCAATGCTCCTACGAATGCAGCCCAATATGCCGTTAGCCTTCTTGGCAACAAGGGCACACTGCTGACTCATATCCAGCTTCTCGTCCACTGTAATCCCCAGGTCCTTTTCTGCAGAACTGCTGCTTAGTCCATCCTAAGTGCAAGACTCTGCACTTATCATTGTTGAACCTCATCAGATTTCTTTTGGCCCAATCCTCCAATTTGTCTAGGTCACTCTGGAACCTATCCCTAACCTCCAGCATATCTACCTCTCCCCCCATCTTAGTGTCATCTGTGAACTTGCTAGGGTGCAATCCATTCCTTCATCCAGATCATTAATGAAGATGTTGAACAAAACCAGCCCCAGGACCAACCCCTGGGACACTCTGCTTGATACCGGCTACCAACTAGACATCGAGCCATTGATCGCTACCCATTGAGCCAGACGATCTAGCCAACTTTGTATCCACCTTATAGTCTATTCATCCAATCCATACTTTTTTAACTTGCTGGCAAGAATACTGTGGGAGACCGTATCAAAAGCTTTCCTAAAGTCAAGGTATATCACGTCCACCACTTTCCCCATATCCACAGAACCAGTTATCTCATCATAGAAGCAGAGGTGAGCTGGAGCCAGTTCCCACCGGTTCGTGGGAACCTGTTAAATTTAGAAGCCCTTTTAGAACCGGTTGTCCCTCGTGGGACAACCGGTTCTAAAAGGGCTTTTAAATTTAACAAAAGCTCCAGCAGCTCCCTGCCCTTCCCCTGGCCCCAGCTCACCTCGCTCCGCCTCCTCCCCTGAATGCTCCCCCGGCTTCTCCTCCCCCTCCCCGGCTTCCTGCGAATCAGCTGTTCGCGTGGGAAGCCTGGGAAGGCTCAGAAGGAAGCAGCGGCTTCCCACAGGTGAGCTGGGGCGGGGGCGTGAGGAGGGCTCCAGGCGCCGCATGGCTCCGGCCCCGGCCGGCCTTCGCGGCCCCCGGGCCCGGCCCCTACCGGGCGGGCGGCACAGCTCCAGTCCGGCCCCGGCCGAGTGCCCCGGTCCCAGCCCTGGCCCAGCGGCTCCGGCCGAGTGGCTCCGGTCCCAGCCCCGGCCCCGACCGAGCGGCTCTGGCTCTGGCCGAGCGGCCCCAGCCCCCACCTCCAGGCAGCGCGGTAAGGGGGCAGGGAGGGGGTGTTGGATAGAGGGTGGGGGTGTTGGGGGGGTGGATTAGGGTCGGGGCAGTCAGAGGGCAGGGAACAGGGGGATTGAATGGGGGCAAGGGGCCTGGGGGGCAGTCAGGAAGGAGCAGGGGTTGGATGGGGCGGTGGGGGGCAGTCAGGGGCAGGAGTTCCAGGGGCAGTCAGGGGATAGAGAGAAGGGGTGGTTGGATGGGGCAGGGGTCCTGGGGGGGGGCACAACCCCCTCGTGGGGTCAGGAGAAGGGAACCGGTTGTTAATATTTTTGGCAGCTCATCACTGCATAGAAGGCAATCAGGTTGGTCAGGCATGACTTGCCCTTGGTGAATCTATGTTGACTGTTCCTGATCACCTTCCTCTCCTCCATGTGCTTCAAAATGGATTCCTTGAGGACATGCTCCATGATTTTTCTGGGGACTGAGGTGAGGCTGACCAGTCTGTAGTTCCCCGGATTCTCCTTCTTCCCTTTTTTAAAGGACAACATCATGACAGACCAGGTCATCATGAAGCACGGTTGGCTCCATGCTGGGCACAGTGCCCAGAACCCGGTCAAAGTCATCATAAAATGGGCATGTCATTAGCAAGCTGCCTGAGGTGCGGTTCTTGTTCCTGGTCTTCCTGTATTCACTCTTTAGCCTCTTAATATGACCACTTGTCCAGAAAATCTGTAGAGCTGCTAGCTTTTTATCTATTTGTTGGTATGCATAATCGTTCCTGGTGTTTTACTTGCCTCGCATCAGAGATTCACCAAAATTTGGCTGTGCTCCTGTGGCCATGAAGCAGCTCACTTTGCAAAAGGCTTGATTGTTTCGCTCTCCATTGCAAACCCAGAGGCTCTCTGATAGTGTGCTTGCAGATCAGTGATCAGAAGAGAATGGGTTAATGCTGGCATGAGCTGCTGCCATTTGCCAAAGGGGGGGTTGGCTTCTGTTTTCAATAGAGTGGATTGGAGATTGTTGGGATAGAGAGGACTAAGGAAGTTGTCCCATGGAATTGTGGGATACTTCTGGCAGACTACTGGGACATGTATCGAGTGGACTGCATCTGCACTGCAAAGTAATAGGGGTGAAACCCTGGGTCCCAGCTCGACTTGTGCTTGGACCCTGCGGGGTCCTGGGACTGAGTCCTGGGTTAGAGCAATTGCAGTGTAGATGCAAAAGGTGTTAGGCTTGAGCCCAAGCTCAAGCACAGGCTTACACTGCAGTGCAGACATACCCATAGGGGCCAGTCCTGTGAGATGCTGAACATCTTCAACTCCCACTGAAGATAATGGTAGCTGAGATGGTGCGTGTGAAGCCTGCTCCTTCAGAAATGTACTCTGTCCTGACTCAAGACTAGGGTTGCCAATCCTCCAGGATTGTCCTGGAGTCTCCAGGAATTAAAAATGAATCTTTAAAGATTATGTCATGTGATGAAACCTCCAAGAATACATCCAACCAAAGTTGGCAACCCAATCCTGTAAACAGGAAAATGAGTAACTTTGTTCACGGGAGTAGTCCCCTTCATTCCTAGTCAGTGGAAATACTTGCACAGGTTAAGTTTCTCAGGTGCATGTTTGCTGACAGAAATGGGCACAGAAATAGCTAAAGATTCTCAGAATTGCACAGGACAGGGCCATTAAATGCTGAAATATAAGGACTATTAAAAGGACTAGTAGAGCTGGTCAAGAATTTTCCAATGAAACATTTTTCATCAGGAAATGTTGATCTGTTCATTTTCTGATTCAAAATAACTTTTTGCTTAGACATTTTAATTTGTATTAAAATAAGTTTTTTAAAAAATTAAAAGGTAGGTATCAAAATGAGATGTTTCAATTGATCCGAACCAAAAAAATTTCATTGGTTCACAAAAAAAAATTTGAGATTGACTTTTTGTCCCATCTCAGGGTGGGAAAAAATTTCAAAAATCTGAAAAACTCTTGCAGGACAGGAAAACCTTTTCTAAACCCAGATCTAAATACTAGTGTTAACTTTGCATGTCCAGGCTTTTTACAAGCCTTCTGGCCAAGTCTTGCTCAGCTGATATGTATAATCTCATTGAAGGGGTCAGTAGGGCTACTCACACGAGGAAAGTGAGCAGATGAGTTCTGCCTTTATCCCTAGCGAAAGTGGGTTTTTCTGAGTGCGTACTGACTGATGTATTTCTTCTTTCAAAAATAGAGCTGGAAGAAACCGTTTAGTAAAAGACAGATTTATAACACTGTTACTTCTTGCTTAAATGAGCCAACACATTATCCAATAGAAAGTTAATAAACTAGAACTCTTGGATGTAATAGAAGAGTGGGGAGAACTATTTCAATTGAGCAATATACAGCAGTTGTCTTATTTCGCCAGTGCTAACCAGCTTTTATATCTCCCTTTCCGCCTCAGCAGTGGGCAAGACAGAGCTGTATTGCTATCCTGTGGGCAGCATTTCTCCGTAGGAGTCTGCCTCTAGATTAGAGAAATGGGTAGTATTATGTATTGTCTGCCCTGAGTAGATATTAGGTGCACCGTCTCTAGTATGTGTGTGGGTAGCACTTTTGATTGCAATAACCTCATCTTTCCAAGGACAGTGGCTTCTGTCGAAACTTTCTGTGCAATCAATGGAGGCCATACAGAAGGTCCTTAGCGAGAAGGATCATCATCAGGGAACAATGGGGCAGATTCATCCGTGTGCTGGGGCCAGGACAGACAGCTTGAACTTCCTCACTTTGAGAGCTGGCAGGAGCTGGCTTTACCCCAGGCACAGGGAAGGGCAGCCTTGTGGGCTGCCCTGTCTCTTGTCTCTGTTGTGACAGTCCCATGGGCCATTCCAGGAATGTTGAATCACCAGAGCCCAGGACCATCCTGGGCACACCTTCTCCATCCTGCCCATGTCCTGGGCTTCCTGCAATGCCCCTGTGCATAGGCTGCTGTGGAGGCACTTCAGCTCCTGGAGTACTGGCCCCCTGCACCCTGGTGGGAAGGTTCTTATACCTGTGCTATGGCCCCTTTGCACCAGCCCAGCTGCAATATTTGTTCTCTCTCGTGCTCTGCATTAAGGAGTGTGCATGGAAGGTAATTTAGTCCAGTAACTCCCCTGTCGCTCTCTGTTGCCTGGCAGGTACCTGAGAAAGCAGTTAAACAAATGGAAAGACAAAGTGCTGCTCCTCCACAACTCCCAGGAAGACAAAAGCTGCAGACTAGAAGCAAAGCTCCAAGCCCTGATAGCAAACCATGAGTGTGTGCAGGCGGAGCTGCAGCAAATGAGGCAGGAAATAAAGGTACAGAGAACAATGTGCCAAGAATCTTGACAACGATTTGGCTATTGGCATGCTCTGAGCACTGTGCACCAGCATTGTCTCATTGTTACTTTGTGCTTCCCCTGTTGTCTCTTGTATCTATCTATCGACATAGACAGACAGTAAGCGGGGACTCTTTGTTCTGTTTATACAGCAGCTAGCACAATGGGGCTCTGATCCACAATGGGGCTCGTAGGCATTACCACACTACAAATAAATAAATAAGAATTATAATGAATAATAAATAATGCGTAAGAGTGAAAACACCCTTAGAGAAATTCCAACCATAAAAAAAAAAGTCTCCAAAGAGAATTGCTCAATGCATCTTAATCAAGACTGGACACATCACTAGACAGTGCAGTCTAAAGAACAATCTTATCTTGTCAGGTGATAAGAATTAGAGATCTAGTCTGATAATTAAAGGAAAGTCTTTCCTTGCTGCGGATCAATATCTTATTTTGCCTTTTTCTTTTGAAATATTTTAATTCTGATTCATTTAAAGTAACCTTTGGTTTCTAAAGTTTAAATGATGTTTTCACTCTAAAATATTAGTCCATATGCTATGCAAATACATGGCATCTTACAACTGGATATACATGCAATTTGTTTGTATGAGTCATACGTACAAAGACACATATATATACACCGAAATATGCATGCACACATTGCATGGATGTGTGTATGTGTGTGTGTGTATATATATATATATATATATATATATATATATTATATTATTTTTTTTTTTTTTCTCCTTAGTTAAATTATTTTAGAATAATTTTCCAGCAAATTAAATCTTGAGCTACTATGACGTCCCCTTTTTACTGGCACAATAAGGTATAATATCTTGAGACTGAAATTACAATAAATTGAGACATTGAAAATTGTGGAATGAAACCTGTGTACAATATAATTAGACCCAATACACTTAAAATCAGGCAGGGGATAACTAAAAGAAGAAAAAGGCAGAGACAAGGTGTTTCTGGATAGACACCAAAGTTTTTATGGGCCTGATCCAAAGTCCACTGAAGTCAATGGAATAATTCCTATTGATTTGTTGTTATATTGCAGTAGTGTCGAAAATCCCCAGCCACGATCAGGACTCCATTGTGCTAAGTGCTGTACAAGCGTATGAAGAGAAAGTCCCTGTCCTGAAAAGCTATAAACTAATTAGACAAGACTGACAAGGGAAGCATTACTATCCCCTTTTTACAGGTGGGGAAACTGAGTCATGGAGATTCACTGATTTGCCCAAGATCATACATGGTTTCTGTGGCAGGGATGGGAGGGAACTGAAACCAGATCTCTTAAGTCTCATTTCAGTTCTTTAACCACAAAACCATCCTACCTCTTTAACAAGCTTCCATTGGCTTTGTATCAAGCTTTATAAGCAACAGGTTTCCTGTGTTGTGTTTATTTCAGGCAATGTTACAACCACCAAACTATCCTTCATTTGTATTGTGTCAAAATATGATGCCAAAAAGTGAAGACCCCTGGGAGGAAAGAAAGCTTCACAGTGGATCAGATTCAGCTCTGGCAAAACCCACCCCGACTAGCTATACTGAGTGGAAATCCCTGGATCCCTCCTCAGCTGCAGAAAAAAGGCAGCTATTACAGACTCAGACTGATCCAGTTGCAATGAACCTGAGATCATCAGGTACCACTTTAGGGTCGATATTCCTGCAGAATGGCAACCCCCTAATGAGACAGCATGAAACATCAAAAGAGAAGGGAATTCCTCAGACAGATCAGGAGGGGATATCACAACCTGAAAGGACCGGGAACCTTCCCCAGGGAATTATGACCACAGCTTCTAGTCCCACTGCTGCAGAAGTGCCATTTAATGAGAAGGAGGTGAATGAAGAGAAGGAACTGCAGCAGCTAGTGCTGAAGCTGGAGGATGCATTATCTCTCCAACTGCAACCAGGTAAGAGTTCTGAAGTCACAGATATTGGTCCCGAGTGTCTTCGGACCTACATCCGGTTTACTCCAGCATAGTTCTATAGACTTCATTGGAGCTACTCCGGACATATATACGTGAGTGGAGAATTAGACCTGATGGACCAAACTCTCTATTCTGGTGTAAATGGGTGAAGCATCACTGACTTAATAAAGTGTCACCCTTTGACACCAACAGAGAATTTAGTCCATTGAGTCTAGCATGAGGTGCCTTTATATTTACACTTTGGGTCGGTCAGGTGCTGCACTTATCTGCATCCTGAGCAACTCTAGGAATTGCCCAGAATATAAAAGTTGCAATATGTGAGATGCTCATTAAATACTACTCAAGCCTGTACTCAGCAAATATTGTTCAGTCTTTCTGTGAAATTATATTTCACCTTTGGAAATGCTTTAAAGGTTCAGCAGGTTATGTTCCCAACAAGAGGGTGCTCATTTTCTTGCCTTCTCTATGAATTTGAGGTCTCATTTGAATTTCTTTCACTGGTTTAAAATTACTCTAAAAAGGATGCCCACAGAGTTCACATCCATTCTTTAAACACAGGGGAGGCGTCCTTCATATCCCCTCTTCACAAAAGTCCTAGAGTATGTAATGATGGCACCTGCTGTTTTTCATCAATTTGAATATAATTTGGTTAGACAGTATATTATTAACTAGATAACTTGTGTTACATACTTTTTTTTATTTCTAGGTGTGCAGTAACTAAACCTCACTGCATCCCTTGACATTAGCAGAAAGCTTTTACATGGAAATCTGAAATGCACGGGAGGCAATAGGTCTCAGGATATTTGTGTTAGATGTGCTTCCTGGCACTGTAAATTACTAAGGAGGGAGTGACATGGCATTCTGAGGAACCTGTGTTCTTTGAGTGATTGCTCATGTCAGTGCCAAGTAGGTGTGTGCATGCTGCGTGCACAATTGTCGAAAGGTTTTTCCCCGTCGAGTCGGCTGTGGACAGGGCCGGCTCCAGGCACCAGTGTAGGAAGCTGGTGCTTGGGGCGGCCAATTCAAAGGGGCGGCACTCCGTTCAGTATCAGGGCGGTCTTCGACGGGAATTCAGCAGCGGGTCCCGCATTCCCTCTCTTCCTCTTTGAGTTGCCGCCAAATTGCCGCCAAAGAGGAAGAGAGGGAGGACCCGCCACCGAATTGCCGCCGAAGAAGCGGTGCGATTGAGCTGCCGCCGAAGTGCCACTGCTCGTCTTTTTTATTTATTTATTTTTGGCCGCTTGGGGCGGCAGGAAAGCTGGAGCCAGCCCTGGCTGTGGAGCCCCCTGGAGTGACGCCCTATGGTGGTGAACATAGGTCCCTGCTGACCTGCTGCCTCTTCAGTTCCTTCTTACCACCAGTGACAGTCTTTGAAGCTACTTTGTTCTCTTGCCTTGGATAAGCTCTTCTCCTAGCGAATAGTTATTCTTGTATTGTATATAGTTCTACATAGTATAGGTGTTCTAGTATTTTAATTAAGTTAGTTTGTAGATAAGTTTCTGTTGGGAATTACCCCCCACTTTTTCCTACTAGGAGTTTTCCTACTCCCCTCCGGGGACCAGGGCATGCTTCGGTCTCCAGGCTTCAGAACTTGCGGGTCTTGCCAGAAGCCTATGCCCAGGGGAGACCCTCATGACTCCTGCATAAAGTGCTTGGGGGAAGCCCACCAGACCGACAAATGCAAGATCTGCAGGAGTTTCCACCCAAGGACTAAAGGAGAGAGACTTTGGACTTAAGCTTCTCCTTATGGAGTCAGCTCTCCATCCCCAGCTGGCTCAGACCACGTCAAGATCCAAGCCCAGCACTTTGGTGCTGAGTGCACCAGCCTCAGTAAGGGAGGATGTGGTGCTGGAGAAGGATTTGGGGCCCAGAGACCCGTGGCACCGCCACTCTTCGGCACCAAAGACAAGTTCGGCGATTTCTCGGCACTGATCTCACTCACCGGTGCTGCATAAGAAGCTGAGAAGAGCCAAAAGAACTCACCAAAAGTCCAAGCAGTGGAGCACGATGGTGCCCGTGGAGTGTGTCCCACATCAGGACACTCAGCTCCTGCTCAGGGACAGCTGGAACCGTTGAGTCCAGTTCTGTTGGACTCTGCGGGATGGGAGAGCCAAATTGGGGAGTTGGACATGCCGTCCACTCCTGACACGTTTGAGGCTGCCAGGGACTTAATAGAGATGGCAATCCAGCACTCCCTGGCACCGGCAGAGCCAACAGCGCTGGCACCAGCAGCTCCAGCACCAGCACCATGCAGGGGGGCTGGACTGTCCAAGGGCAAACCAGCCACTCTGCGGCACTGGTCGTCCTCACCTCAGCACTGATCACCGGCACCGGCCCACATGGCACCGCCATGGAGCCCGAGATCAGACTCGTTCTCGGAGTCAGAACCAGAATCATACGTCTCCAAATGCAGCCGGCACCAGTCTCTTCAGTGCAGGCATAACGAGATGCAACAACTTCCGATGATGCCCTGGCCACCACAGTGGCAGGCAGTGGCCGTTCTGGTCCCCATGGGCGTATCATCAAGCCCAGGAGCCAAGCTCCAGGTCCCTTTCGGTCACCTTGGACAGACGGGGACCTCAGTCTGCCTCCATGATAAGGGAACCTCCAAGGGGTTCGGAGCCCAGTGCCTGAGCCGGCACCGAACCTGGCACCGAGTTTGCATCTGGCAACGCATCTGCCACTGTGCAGGAAGCACCTGCTTGGGAGGACTTCTATGAGTTGGAAGGTCAGGAGGAGCCCATGCCTATGAGGGCTTCTTCATCTTCCTCCCCGGATGAGGCAGTAGCAGGCTTGTCTGCCTCATTACCGGCTTTGGATGATAGAGCCCATCAGGAGCTGCTCAGAAGAGTAGCCCAAAATCTTGGCCTGCAAGCAGAGGAGGGGTCAGCAGAAATGGACCCTATGGTGGACATTCTGACACCAGAAGGTGCTTCCAGGGTGGCCTTGCAATTGGTCAAGTCCATCCACAATACTACCAAGACCTTCTGGCACACTCCTGCTTCCATTCCTCCAATGGCTAAAGGGGTGAAGAGGAAGTACTTTGTACCCTCTAAAGCAGGGGTCCCCAACGCAGTGCCCGCGGGTGCCATGGCGCGAGCCAGGGTATCCATGTGCGCCCACCTACTGGCCACCGGAAAAGCAGCCGCCGAAATGCCGCCGAGAAGTGGCAATGTCAAGAAGCGCTACCGCCAAAATGCCGCCGGATTTCGGTGGCATTTCGGCGGCGACGCCTCTTGATGCTGCTGCTTCACGGCAGCATTTCGGCGGTGACGCCTCTTGATTTTGCCGCTTCACAAATTTCAGCGGCGATGCCTCTTAATGTTGCTGCTTCACGGCGGCATTTCGGGGGCTGCTTGTCTGGCGGCCACAGTCCTCGGCAACTAGTCATCCGGCGCCTGCCCCACGGAAAAGGTTGGGGACCACTGCTTTAAGAGGTACAAATACCTTTTCACCCACTCCCAGCTGGGCATGCTGGCAGTGGATGTGGCCAAGGCCAAGGAAAGGCAGGGTCACCAGCGCCCCACTCCAACGTCTAAAGAGGCAAAGAAATTGGACCTCTTCAGCCATAAGGTCTATTCCACTAGGGGGCTCCAGCTTCGAATTGTCAATCAGCAGGCAGTTCTTAGCCGCTACAGTTTTAACTCTTGGAACTCCCTGTCCAAGTTTAAGGAGCTACTTACATCTGACTCCCACTCTGACTTTGGGGCTGCCCTGGAGGTAGGCAAGACCATTGCAAGGACTTCCTTGAAGGCTGCATTAGACTCAGTGGACTCAGCCACCTGTACAGTGTCTACGGCCATTGTCATGTGACTAGTTCGTGGCTATAAGTCTCAGCCCTCCCCAGGGGTCCAACAGACTATACAGGACCTGTCCTTCAATGGTGCAGGTCTCTTCGCTGAGCAGATGGACTCTAGGCTCCATAATCTCAAAGACTCTAGAGCAACCTTAAAGTCCTTGGGGCTTCATACGCTGGCCCCGCAAAGAAAGCATTTTAAGCCTCAGCCCCCGCCTCACTTCTACCCCTCTCAGCTGCGGCAAGACTATAAACAGGAGATGGGATAGGAGTAATAGGAGAAGGCCTCTGCAATCCTCCTCTACCCAGGACCAAGGCTTGGCGAGACAGTCACTGGCTCCCAAGAAAAGCTTTCGAAGGTGCACCCAGGGCTGACACGTCAGTCCATATCCCGGATCCTTCTTCTTTTGTGAACCATCTATCCCATTTATACCATGCTTGGGCTCAAACAACATCAGATCGCTGGGTCTTGAGCATGGTAGAATTGGGATATTCTCTCCAATTCTATATCTTCCCACCCACCTTCCCCGTCCCTCTTCAGGGTCCCTTCTCATGAGCAACTTCTAGTGCAGGAGTGCAAATGCTCCTACAACTCGGGGCAGTAGAAGAGGTACCTATGGAGTTCAGGGGCAGGGGATTCTATGCCCGTTATTTCCTAATCCCCAAGGCCAAGGGGACCTGCAAACCCTCAACAGATTCATGAAGAAGCTGAAGTTCTGTACGGTCTCATTGCCTTCCATCATTCCCTCTCTGGATGCAGGAGACTGGTGTGCCGCCCACGACCTGAAGGACGCGTACTTCCATGTGTCCATAGTCCAGTCCCACAGACATTTCCTTCGATTTGTTGTCAACAACACCCATTATCAGTTCATGGTCCTCCCCGTCAGCCTCTCAGCAGCCCCTTGGGTGTTCACAAAGTGCATGGCGATTGTGGCGGCCTTCCTGTGAAAGCAGCAGGTGCAAGTGTTCCCATATCTGGACGACTGGCTGATCAAGGGTCAATCTTGGGCCCAAGTGGAGGACCATGTGAGCCTGGTGCACATGACATTCCTCAGTCTCGGTCTCATTCTAAATGTAGAAAAAAAAGTCAACTATAACCCCTATGCAAAGGATAGAGTTCATCGGGCCCTCCTGGACTCCACCCAGGCCAGGACTTTTCTCCTAGAAGCTCATTTCCTCACCATAAGCGCCGTCATAGAGGATCTCAAGAGATTCCCCACTACAATGGCGCAAACTTGTCTGAAGTTGCTTCGGCATATGGCTGCCTGCATGTGTATGTGGTACACCATGCCAGGTTGCAGCTACACCTGCTTCAGACGTGGTTAGCCCAAGTTTACAGGCCAAACAGAGATCGCATAGACAGACTGGTCACTCTTACTCCTCAGGTTCTCAAATCCCTCCGTCGCTGTCTCTAGTCACAGATGCGGCGGCGATGAAATGGGGGATGCACCTGAGCGAACTCAAGACACAAGGCCTCTTGATCCCAGGTGGAACTTTTGCTGCACATCAACGTCAGGGAGCTGTGGGTGGTTCGTCTCGCTTGCCAGACATTTCAAACCCATCTACAGGGAAGATGTGTATCAGTACTGACAGACAATACCACAGCAATGTTTTATATAAACAGACAGGGTGGTGCTCGCTCCTCTCCCTGTGCTAGGAAGCCCTCAAGCTGTGGGACTTCTGCATCACCCACTTGATACAATTGGAGGCCTTGTACCTTCCCTATCCTCAATGTCCAGTGAGAGAAAACATCGTTGAGTTTAATAGCACCAGCGTGGCCATGTCAGCACTGGTTCACCACGTTGCAGGATCTGTCAGTGAATACACCCATTACTTTGCCCTTGGTTCTGGACTTGATCACACAGGACCCTGGCCACTTCCAGCACCCTAACCCAGAATCTCTCCATCGCATAGCATGGAAACTCCATGGCTGAATCCTCTAGAACTTACCTTCTCAGACTCGGTTAGGGAGGTTCTCCTCGGCAGCAGAAAGCCTTCCACTCGTGCCACTTATCTGGCAAAGTGGAAGAGATTTTCCATTTGGTCCCTCCAGAAAGGTACCCCTCCGTTGCAGTCCTCGATTCCCTTTATCCTGGGCTATTTGCTTCACCTGAAGCAACCGGGGCTGGCAGTTTCATCAGTAAAGGTGCACCTGGTGGTAATTTCGGCTTTCCATCCTGGCTCAACAGGACGCTCAGTGTTTGCTAACCCTGTGGTTGGCTATTTCCTCAAGGGGCCGGACAAACTGTACTCCCAAGTAAAACAACCAATCCCTCCATGGGAGCTTAACCTGGTGCTCTCAAGGCTCCTGGGCCCCCCCCTTTGAGCCCCTAGCAATGAGTTCACTGTTCCACCTGTCTTGGAAAATGGCGTTCCTAGTGGCTATAACATCAGCCAGAAGGGGGTCTGAGCTCAAGGCTTTGACGTTGGAGCCCCCTTATACTGTGTTTTATAAGGACAAGGTACAATTGTGACCGCACCCAGGTTTTCTCCTGAAGGTAGATTCGCAATTTCACACAAATCAGGACATCTTTCTGCCAGTGTTCTATCCTAAGCCACGTGCCAATGACAGGGAATGCATGCTCCATTCCCTGCATGTCAGATGGGCATTAGCCTTTTACATCAAGTGAACAAAGCCGTTTAGGAAGTTGATGCAGTTCTTCATCGCTATTACAGAAAGAATGAAAGATCTCCCTATTTCGTCTCAGAGAATCTGTTCTGGATCACGGCCTGCATCAGAATATGCTGTTATCTAGCAAAGATTCCGGCCCCAGCGTTGACAACGCACTCCACAAGAGTGCAGGCTTCATCTGCAGCAGTCCTGGCACAGGTCCCCATTCATGACATCTGCCGGGCGGGGACGTGGTCGTCTATTCACACCTTTATGTCACACTACACCATCACTCAGCAGGCGAGAGACAATGCCGTGTTTGGTAGAGCCGTGCTACAGTCGGCAGCTCAGTGAACTCCGACCCCTCCTCCAGGGGACTGCTTGGGAGTCACCTACTTGGAATTGACATGAGCAATCACTTGAAGAAGAAAAAAATGGTTACTGACCTTTCGTACCTGTTGTTCTTCGAGATGTGTTGTTCATGTCCATTCCGAGACCCACCCACCTCCCATCTGTCAGAGTATCCGGCAAGAAGGAACTGAAGAGGCAGCGGGTCGGCAGGACCTATATTCACCGCCATAAGGGCACCATTCCGGGGGGCTCCACAGCCAACAGGGTACTACTAGGGGAAAAACCTTCCAACAATCATGCATGCGCACGCACACACCTACTTGGAATGGACATGAGCAACACATCTTGAAGAACAACAGTTATGAAAGGCAGATAACCGGTTTTTGTCTCTCACTGACAGGAAGTGGCTAGATTCATAGGTCACCTCTGTTATGCTGGATGGATTTTCAAGGAGGTAGGGGAGTTGAATATGAGAAAAGATAAAATAACGCTGTAAAAATGAGCTGGGAAGATTTAAAAAATAATTTAAAACTGCTTAAAATCTGAAATTAATAACATTCTATTAAGCCTTATCATGCAAGGCCCAAGGCACTCTGTGTCCATTACATCTGGCCCTATAAATATATATTACACACACAAAAACATGTGAAAATAACATTACTGAGATTGCAAAAAGTTGGAAAATGCCAGAATTAAGGTTGCTTCTGAACCCTTAATTCAGCCCTTTTATGCATTTGCATTATAAGTCAGTCTTTAAACACATGATCATATACTATTTTTTCCACAGGACCCTTGCCTCCCACCCCCCAGCAACCAGTTCTAGCCTCCATTCTCCTCCCTGACTTCCAGTCCCACCTCTTTGCCTAGCCAGTCCCAATTCTGCCCCTCACCCCAGGTTCCAGGCACAGTTTCTTTTCCCCCTGCTCCACTTCCAGTTTCACCAGACACCTTGTCCCAATCTACTCTTCCCTCCTCCACAGTCCAGTTTTTGTTACTACTGTATTCAAATGAGACAGCTTTCTCCTCTGTGCTAGCTGACTGCCAGTAGGGGATCACTGAGCGCACAGGAGAGACAAGCTCATTGCTCTCAAGTTCTAGTGCCAGCTCCGCCCTGGACCAGAGCAGCCACTACAGGGAAAGTTTGACTTTGCCCTTGTAGCCTTATGGAGGAGGAACAAGTTCAGCCTGGGGAAGCTGTGCAGCGCAGAAAATGTCAGCCCAAAGGGTTAAAGTTTAGCAAAGTTATAAGCAACTGAAAACAGGGTCTTATAATGGGAACTCTTGGGCAACCTTAATAATAGTCAGTGCTACCAATGCTGCTGTTATATACAAGGTGCTTAGGAATGGACCCAAAGGGCAGTCTCTTACTGTAAGTAATCCATATAAGTCACAGAGCAAAGACTAACTCAACTTGAGTAGAGATATGATCTGACACTCTGTTCATAGTTTATAAATACCATATTAAACATGTGGCAGTCAAGCATTGAACCCAGATCTTCTAATTTCCACTGCAGTGCTGTCACCACAACACTAGCCTTCCTCTCTCAGCATGCAATCACTCTAGAATTACTCCAGATTTTCATTCATGTGAGCTCAACATTTAACCCCTCACTGCTGGAGTCATTTAAAACTGGAGAAGACATAGTACTGTAGAGGAAGTCACTCTCAGCAGTCAATATGGAACAAACTTGCATTGGTGGTCTTTTCTGTCTCCAATTTCTATGACAGTGTAATTGTTTGACCCCACAGCCAGCCTCCCAATCACATACAATCCTCTTATAATCAATGGTCTTATTACAGCATAGCTTTGTTCAGCTCTCAGGATGCCTCACTTTCATTGATAAGAATGTAATAAGGAAAGCCAGCGGATAAAACTTTTGTTTCTATAGAATTACCTTGAATTGGAGTCTTTTAAAGAGTCGTACAGGGATTTTACTGCATTTAGGTGCTGTGAAATAATCTCTTTTCTTTCCAGCTCAGCAGTCTGCTATAAAGCAGGAGTTGGTCTCCACAGCTGAGCATGTTTGCAGGTCCTTCTCTGACCTCATCAACCACGTGACTTTGCCTGCTTGGAAGAAATAGGATGCCAGTATTAGCCTTACTACTTCATCCCACTGTTGCCCAGGTAATTACAGCCATGTGTCATCTCTAAAGTTGGTCAGATATTGAACTGTAATAATCTAACATAATCGAGTTCTGACTCTGGGGTCTTTACCAGAGTCTTCTGTGGTGTTAGAGAAGGAATTCTCCCTTATATTAGTACCATGTATTCCTAGCCTATTCCTAATCTGAAGAAAATATAGGGCCAGATCTTGGCCAATGCATATCAATATAGTTCTGTTGACTTCAGTGAGGCTATGCTAACATACACAGCTAATGATCTGGCCCATACTATCCTCTCATTACTATAATACCTGATAATTGCTTGTGTTTCAGGAAACAAGAGGATTTTTTTCCCCACACGCACACATGGAGATGGCTTTAGCTAACCAATCTCATTGATAAGTTGTCTGACATTGTATCATAGTTCAAGAAGCAATGAATAGAAGGAGTAAATCTTTAGTTGTCTTCTCCAAGTTGTCCATTGTCTCCAACATCTGACAGTCATTTTACTAAATTAGCAACTAAATTGGTGAGAAGGAAGAGCTGTGAACAATTAGAGGCATTTTATTGCTTTAGAAGCCCCATATATATGGAATTATTAAAGAGCTTAATATTACTTGAAGGACTTACAACATCAGAAAAGAAATTTTTGTTTTTCTTTTGTTGCTAGCACAGGGTATTCACAGAGTCAGCTGAAAACAAATTATGAAAACATTTCCAACACAGCACTGAAAATATTTAAGGATGGTGTTTCTATCTGGAAGGTTTGCATGCCGATGAGAGATATTGGAATTCTTATAAGTGTTTAGATGGTTATTTAGGTTGTTGCTGGCTGAGCACCAGATCCTGTGCCCATTGAAGCCAACGGCAAAGCTTCTATTGACTCAGCAGTGCAAGTTTTCAGCCTTGGATGCTTTGGGGGATAATCTGGGATTTGGAGGGGAGTAAGATAGTGGACAAAAAGTGAATATATTATTCTTCAATGATTCATCTATAAGATGTGCCACATTCCACTTTCTCTCCTTCTGGTACGTAGGTGAGAGATCTGGAAGGAAAGGGCTGAGCTCACACTTAGAAGAAAAGCCACTTGCACTATATGCTATTCTTTAATGCCCTGGCCGTGGGCCTGATTCTCCATGGTTACATCTGTTTTACACCAATATAACTCCCCGATTTCAATGGAGTTCTATTGACATAAATTGAGGTAACAGAAGAGAGTCACGCCCATGACAGTGTTGCTCTGGAATAGCAATGCTGAAGATTGAGACAATGGTGAGTAGGCTAGGCAGTCATTTGGACTATTAATTGTGGTGGGTTTTTTTGATATTTTTGTGGGTAACTGTGACCAAAAGCATCCCTGTGTTCACACTCTACACACTGTTGTAATCTTTGTATGAAATATGCCTTGTGAGATTTCATTTGAAAATAATAAATAACTTGCTGGTCAATAATATGGTGAAATGTATGACAGTATTATATGTGACGTTACAAATTCACTCTATGTGATATTAACACATGTTCACAACCAGACAGCTCTGTCTAGGCAAAAGTTGTTAAACAGGCATATCCTAAATAAAGGCATGTATGTTTACCCCTCAATGTACATATAAATAGTAAATAGGGTCCTCGAGATAGCAGGAGGAAGAGATGACTAGAAACAGAACGAGTTGGATTTCATCAAAGACAAAGGGAGAAAAAAAGGGCATGGAGCCTCCTTCATCACCAGACTCCATGTTGCCTTCTTTACTGCTTGAATAAGCTTTCCTTTGAAGCAGGGGTGGGCAAACTGCGGCCCGTGGGCCACATCCAACCCAGCAGCCGATTTAATCTGGCCCTTCAGCTCCTGCTGGGGAGCAGGGTATGGGGCTTGCCCTGCTCCCATTCTCCAGCCGGGGAGCGGGGTCGGGGGCCGCTCCACACACATGTGCTGCGGCTCCTGGAAGCAGCAGCATGTCCCCACTCTGGCTCCTATGTTTAGGGGCAGCCAGGGGGCTCCGCGCACTGCCCCCGCCCCAAGTGCCGCCCCAGCAGCTCCCACTGGCCGGGAACTGCAGCCAATGGGGCAGCGTGCAGAGCTACCTGGCCATGTCTCCACATAGGAGCTGGAGGGGGGACATATCACTGCTTCCCTGAACCCCTCCTGTGCCCCAACTCTCTGCCCAGCCCTGATCTCCCTCCTGCCCTCCAAACCCCTTGAACCCAGCCCGAAGCACCCTCCTGCACCCCAAAGCCCAGATCCCTGACCCCACCCCAGAGCCCGCACCCCCAGCCAGAGCCTTGATCCCCCCCCCCCCCGTGCTCCAACCCCCTGTCCCAGCCCTGATCCCCCTCCCACCCTCTGAAGTGCTCGGGCCCAGCCTGAAGTACCTTCCTATACCCCAAATCCCTCAGCCCCACCCCAGAGCCTACACTTCCAGCTGCAGCCCTCACCTGCCCACACACACACCCCAACCTCCTGCCCCAGCCTGGAGCCCCCTCCCAAACCCTCAATTTCTCATTTCTGGCCCCATCCCAGAGCCTGCACCCCCAGCCAGAGCCCTGACCCCCTCCTGCACCCCAATCCCAATTTCATGAGCATTCATGGCGCGCCATAAAATTTCCATACCCAGATGTGGCCCTCGGGCCAAAAAGTTTGCCCACCCTGCTTTGAAGGGTAACCCTCAGAAGAATCCACCAAAGAAAGGGTCAGAGAACCCCAAGTTCTGTCTCTTTCTTCTAAAAAGACTAAGGCACCAACACCTTTGGGCCTCTGGGAGAGATCCTGACCAAGGAAACTGTAAGCCTCCATCTTGCTGGAAGACTGTGGATAAGAAAGGCCATCTCGAGCAAAGCATTGAGCCAAAACTTGCTAGAATAAGTTTGACTTTTAGATGCATTTTTTCACTGATATTTACAGGTAACCATTTCTAACTTTCTCTCTTATACTTCCATTCACTTAAAATCCTATCTTCTTTGTTAATACTTAATAAACTTGTTTTATTTTTAATCTAAACTGATCCAGTACTTTATTTAAACTGAACTGTTTGGTAAGTCCAGTTGAAGTAAACGGTTGAATATCAACTCTTTACAGGAGCAATGAACCTTAATATCTGAACTTTCCAGGAAAGAGCTGGACAGTGCAGAACACGTATTTTGGGGGGAAATCTGGGACTGGGAGCATGTTGGGGTCACCCTGCAAGAAGTAACCGAGGCTGGTGGAAACCAGAGTGGAGCTGTGGGATCAGGCTGGTGGGATCAGAGCTGCTGAACCAGGATTGCCTAGCACACACATGTTCAGGATGCAACCTGCATGCTGGTAGGCTGGCTGTGAGCAGTCCAGGTTGGGAGCTACAACAGAGATGCATTGTGAGGCACCCACGGTTACAGGGAAGGCAGTGACATAACCCCCTTGCTGGTCTGGGCTGCACCCCAGAATGTGACAATGACTCACTGGATTAGAAGCAGATACTTTGTTAAATGAGAGGATGAACTGAAGTTTTCTGACTTGGCTCTTCACCAGTGCTGACTATTGCTAATTTTGCTCTTTGTCAGCCCATTCTTGCTATGTGATATATTATTATATGATAGGTTATTTCCATCAAATGCAGCTGTATGTTTCCAGTTGATGACACAAATGAGGAATCAATTACTCTGAAGTTACAAATATACTTTAACGAATAAGAAATGAAAGTGATTCAGTATCTCTTCAGACAGTGGAATTACAGATTCCTCAACCTGCTATCAATGTTCTGCAAGACTACACAGAAGACCTAGTGAACAGAGTACAGAGACATGGATTTACATAAATCATGAGAGCAGACATAATTCCAAAAATAATGTACCAATTAGATCACTTACAGGTGAAGTTAAAGGTGCTACACCAACTGACACCAGCTGAGAATCTAGCGCCCAAAAATAAAACTTCTAAGGACAACCAGAGACTGTTCGTGGCTTTAAGGACTAGAAAAAGAACTCGACTTGGGGGAAATTAATGCACTGTTGGATGAAGATAAAATGAAGGAGGTCATATGCTGAAACAGAGCTCCATCAATAATGCAGCAACATTTACGCAGATTGAAACATGGAGTTTAACAAAGAGAGGCAGTCTCAACGGACAGCTTTCTTTTTTGCCTAGAAAAGTTCTGTTTTTTTAGAAGTCTTGACGGGATTATAAGGCATCAAGATAAAGGGGGCTATCTGACTCGAATCAAGATGAATAGAAAGTTTTTCTTTGGCGAGACCTCAGCCACCCACTCAAGAGACCTTTAAAGTAGCGATCATGGTAATAAACATTCCTAATTCTTCATATAGACTTTGGTCACAGAAGCCCCAAATCATGCTTAACACAGACGTCAAAGAATACATATGACAAATGAAGGGAAAGCTCTAGATGCTAATAAGCACTTTATCTACAAATGAACAGACGTTAAAGAAAGTAAAATACTAGTTGGCTTGTGATAATACAAGAAGAAATGGAACAAATGGCCGGGTAATAGGGACCACTGGGAAGCAGGTACAGCTATATCCCCATAAAGAGACACAGAAGCGGGGGGAGGGGGGAATAAGATCTGGATGGGAACTTAGTAGCCTTGGCAGTAGCAACGGTATAGTACATAGTCCCATTTGCCTAGGACTCTATGCTTGATGGCCCCAGATTGTGACATAAGGAAGTACATTTTCACATGGTACATAGCTATTTGGCTGCCCATTTCCCAATAAATACAAGGGACTGAAGCCTTAACTCTGTTTTTACTCAGGTTTGCCTCAGGACAGCTCACGCTGAAGTCTGAGACTTGTCCCCAGAAAGATCTGAGTGAGGACTTCAAGGTTTGCACTAGCAGGTTTCATATGGATGAATCCCCATGCACCATACTGATACTTCACCCCCAAAAGACGATAATGATCCTCTCTGAGATCACAGCAAATTGGTGGTACAGAATTCCGTTTTAACAAAAATATGGTCCAAAATAGCCTGACCTTGATGCCCTTCCATGCATGGTGTAAACTCAAATTATTTGATAAGGCTTTGGAGGTGAGGGTGGGGAAAAAGCTGGGGGTATGTTCCTGGTGTGCTAAAAGTGCAGATTTCCTGCACTGATTGGCTGAATTCAGTCATTGTTTGCACATTTTTCTGCTGCATGTTGATGATTTGAGATTATAAATCTAATTGTTAGGGCATGCGGAGCTTCTTGCCTGGGCTTTATTTGTATTATTTAAATATAAATAAATGACAGTATTTTCCATTGAACCAGCTGATCTAAATACTACTGATATTGGGCTAAATCCTCAGCACAGCTGAGGGTGGAGGAGAAAGGTGGCTCAAACTTACCTTTCCATTCTGCCATTCTTGTAAACAGGAAGGGCCAAAATATCCTCCAACATCCCCTAGACTAGAGCAGCCTCTGGGGACTGCTACACCAGCTGAGGATCGGCCAGAGTGCTGTGAATTCCCACACTGCCCTGACATCCTCTGTGATGTTGGGGCTCTGGGGGAGTACAGGAATAGAGCTGACTATACCAGCTTTGTACCACCTAAGGATTCCCTTATAGTGGGGGGATCCCTGACTGCCCCTTTATAGTAGCCCAGATACAGGGTTGCAGCTGTGGCTCATAGTTGGCACTTGCCAAAGGAGATGGATTCCCTTACACAGCCATCTCTACCAGTGGTATCTAATTAGTGATGACACAAGAAGAAACAGAACACATAGTGGAATGGGGGACCTACAGGAGGCAGCTACCTCTAGTCAATTAAAAAAATGGTTAAAAGGCCACAGTCCCTCCTTCTAGGCAGTTCTTATGTTCTGTTACACTCCCGTTCTGGTGCTCAGGCTGAGGAATAGTAAGGAAGGGGCAGCAGTACACTGGGCTCACATCAGAGCTACTCCTAGGGCTGCAGGGGGTAATGGTGGGAGGCAGCTGCATTTCTTCCCATTCGCAATGAGCCTGATTCCAGGAACTGAGTTTTAAGATTGCGGAGCCCTGAGAATGCACATTCTTGCAATTCATAATTGAGTACATACTTTCTTCCTAACAGGTGTCCTTGAGAGCCTGTAAGCAGTTCTACTCACTGCTGTTGTGTTAGAGCATCATGTAGTGTTAGAGCATCATGCTGAAGGTGTTTGCATCTAGCATGCCAGTTGTCAGCCAATTTGGTCCCACAGTGACCTGTTTCCATCCAAACTTGCCCTGTGGCTAAGCCACATCTAGTCCAGGCCCTTTCTGGGGTAACAGAAGTCCAGGTAGAAGTTCATGTCCCAATAAGAGATCCTTCAGCCTCTCGTGGGATACTTCTCAGCCTATCCTGTGGGCTCAGACCAACTTGGGCTTGAGCTTGGGTGGCTAGCCTGAGCCTCTGCTATTACCACAAAACCACCCACACAGCTATTTTTAGTATGCTAGTGTGAGGCTAGGAGGCTCACTTCCAGCTGCAATATAGACATACCCTCAGCCTTCTCCCTAGGTCTGCCCAGCTCCTTGGTCCTCCTCTAGAACACTAGCCCACAGAACTGCCTTTCTGGACCTTGTCCTTTTTCCTAGGCTCACCCTTGATAGACAGGCATATATTACTCACTATGAGTCCCTTCAGCAGCCCACGCCAGAGCTCCTTTCTCTAGCTGTCTCTCTGTGTGTGTGTGTGTGTGTGTGTGTGTGTGTGTGTGTGTGTGTGTGCGTGCGCATGTGCTCTCGCTCTCTTTGTAGTCCACCCTGACCCTTTCACAGCCCAGGCTACTGGGTGTCATTAAATCACATCAGGATCAGCTGGTGCATGGCTACTACCCTCACAGGCAAGGCTGGGCCCAGCTCCCCTAAAAGCACCAGCCAGTCTGTGACAGGGCTCCAATTTAGAGTCAGTGAATCTATAGCAAGCATCAAGGTCATCTTTTTTTCAATATCATCAGGTTGCATTTTCATGCCAAGCAATTGAGCTCCAGTCAAAAACAAACATGGTCCATGCTATGAAATGGAATTAGGCTCTGAGGTCTTCAGACAGGAGAAAATGCCTGAGGTAACAGTTCCTTCAGGAATTTCATTACTTGCAAGTTTACATTTAATTGCCTCACTCTTTTATTTCAGCAAAATTAATACCATGAATTGTTTCCCTTACAGCAGCAGCCTCCAGACCTCTTCATAATACCATGACCTTACGTTATAAACTAAACTATTCTTTCAACCCCACTCCCCCACACACCTTTCCCTGCCCATTTCCTCAAAGGTCAAATGGCTGCTATAGTTTCTTAATGAAGGAAAAGAGCTGATGCAGAGCTGTATGGTGGATTGGTCCAAAGCTGAATGTTGTCTTGGCCAGCAATTACCTTTCACCAGCAGTCTTGCTATTCAACGGGAGAAAGGAGGATGCAGGATCCTGTTGTTCGAGAGGGAAAGTATATAAAATTACAGGCCTGGTCTACACCACCACTGCCGGTCGATCTAAGCTACACAATTTGAGTTACATTAGTAGCGTAACTCAAGTTGACATAGCTTAGATCTACTTACCGTGGGGTCCACACTATACTATGTCAATGGGAGATGCTCTCCCGCTGACATTGCTTCCGCCTCTCGTTGAGGTGGAGTACAGAAATCAATGGGAGCGCTCTCCCATTAACTGAGCGTGTCTTCACTAGACCTGCTAAATCGATGCTGCTGCATCAATTGCAGCAGCGCCAATTTAGCTTCGTAGCGAAAACAAGCCCATAGTAGTAGCCTCTTCCTGAAGGCCCCTCCTAAAGCGTGTCAGAGGCAGAAAGCAGTGTCGTCTGAAAATCTCTCTGCTGCTACTTTTCTAGTGAAATCTTGGGAGATAGTGCCAGCTCTCCCCACCTGTCGATTGTCTATCCATAGTAATAACAATTGCAAGTGTACCTATGTGTATACTGAATTGTATCCTTCTCCCCCATAATCTTTGGCTATCACTTGTCTTCCTAGACAGTGAGTTCTTTGGGTCAGGAATTGTTTCTTTGTACAACACCTAGCACCATGAGGCGCCGATACCAATTGGTACTGCAACGTAGTGCAAGAATGATCCTGGCACCACTCCCAGGCAAGTACTGGGGACACACTAGTAGGCCATAGCCACAGCCTGAGACAGTTAAAGCTGGTGAAAGTTGCTAAATATTTGAAAACAAAGGTTCTGTCCCTGTGTTCATGCTCCTGTTGGGGTTGTCTCCTACAGATATTTTAGACACTTAAACACAAGCTTAACTTTAAGTACACATGTAGTCCCATTGAAGTAAATGGGTGAAATCCTGGCCATACTGAGATCAATGGGAGTTTTGTCATCGACTTTAATAGGGCCAGAATTTCCCTGTACGTGCATGCTTTAAGTCAACTATGTGCTTATTTGTTTTTCTGGACTGGGGCAGAGTGCCTAGCACCTATCAGGATTGAGTCCATCAATAAATGAGTTTTCTGGCAGATACACTTGCCAGAATAGAAAATATTGCAGAATATTCAAGGAAAGTCATTTTAAATTTGTAACTTGGACGTATTTGCTCTGTAAACCTGATTCTAAGGCTATGGCAGCTCTGCAAGCTAGGGTGTGATGTCCCTACTCGCCTACACATCCTCGGCCTAGCTCTCATTGAGATGGCATGGGTGTAAATAGCTGCTTAGCTGCTGTAGCACGAGTAGTGGCAGCGGAGTACACCAGTGGATATGTACCTGACCCAGCTCAGCTGTGCCTCCGCTGCGGACATCCATGATACCGTGGCTGCGCTGCTATTTATACTACTGCTAGCTTGCTGAGAGCTAGTATGAGTACGCCTACACAGGGGAATCGCACTCCTAGCTTGTAGTGTAGACGTAGCTTAATAGTTACATTCATTCAGCCAGGTAATAGAAACATGCCCTCTGACCTAGGCATCCACTAAAAAGAGCCACAATTTTGAATACTAAATTCTTGCAATGAATGGCACATTTAATCAGTTTCCTCAAATTAATTTATCCTTCAATGCTAATAGTTTTGAATAATTCTTTAAACTGAATGAGGTTAGTTTGAAGAAACTGATTTATCTGCAGACAATCTGCAAACAGAAAAAGCAGCAAAATTTGTCAAATATCCAAATTATGTCACACAGAGCTAATGGAAACATTTCCATCAACAACAATTTTTTTTATGTAATAACTCCCTTCCCCCTTCCCCCCCAAAAAAGATGACTATGTGGGAAGTATTTACTTGGTTTAAATTTTCCAATTTTTTTCCAATGGAAAACCAAAACAATTTTTGGGGAGGGGGAGTTGGTAATATATTTTGTTTTTTTTTTATTTTCACATTTTTGCTGAAAAATTAGGGACTTTCCATTAAATTTGTGAAAACAGAATTTTGTTTTAAACTTTTTGCAGAAAATATTTACCATTTTCCAACTAGCTCTAGTAATAAGCTACGCATCCTGTTCTGCCTACGATGTATCTAGGAGCTCTCCATTCCTGATAAGAACCTGAGGACCAATCTGCATTGTGTGCTGCAGGGGCAAAGTCATCTGGACTCTATACAGAGGAAGCAGCTTGCCTGCCTGGGTCACAGTACAGCATTTAACTTTATTCTAGCATCCCTTGGGAATTGAAAGGTAACCATGTGCTGATTGAAACTGACACCGAAAGCTTTTTTGTGTGTGCTTTCTTTAGAATAGAATTGTTTCTTACTTTTGACTTACTTCATTTTGGTTTCTCAGGGCCGATCCTGCTCCCAGTGAAATCAATGGCAAAACGCCTACTGACTGCAGTGGAGCAGGATCAGGTGCTACCTGAGGGAAATAGCTGCTATTGTACATCATGAAAATGAATATGCATGTGGGTGTTGTTTATGGACGCTCTTCCTGGAATGTTAACTTTGCGAACATCTGTTCACTTATGGTGTGGAGAATGTTTGGGTCTTATTAACCTATGGGGAAAAACTGGAAGCTTGAAGTTCGGAGGTTCTGGATTTTTTTAACTCTTTATTTTTAAATAGGATGATCTTTTGGCTGCTGTTTGTGCCTTATATGTAAAAAACTATAGTTAAAACAGAGCAAGTACAGCTACTTGGCTCCAATCCTGTAACTGAATCCATACAGGCAAAACTGTGGACTTCAGTAGAGCTCCGTGTTGGTCCCCTGCTCTGCCTGTACACATCCAGTTGCATGACTGGGCCTTATTCTCCAGCAGCCCCCCAGACAATTTCAGTAGCTCATGTACACAATAAGGTGGCCAACTGCTTATAAATCATGCCGTTTGTTAAAGAGACTGAATTCATGGGCATCATTTAAAAAAAAGAAGAGCCACAACAGTCCAAAAAGTCAAAGCTAACCCAAAGGTACAACGTTGATAGCTACAGGCACTCCCCCTCCACCGAGAGCAGCTTTCCAATGAAGATTAAAAACAAAAATCAAAAGGAAATAGTTTAAAAAATATCCACTGTACAGATAAACCTCAGACTAGACTCATTGTTTCCTCTTTATCCCTAGCCCTCCAATAACTCTTCGGAGTAATGCAGATCCACTCTTGTGCACATGGATGCTTAAGTCTTCAATCAGCTCTTTCTTGTTCAGCACTCGTGTCCTCTGATTGTGAGAAAATGTCCCTAGAAATTAGGGAGAAAAAAACAAAAACAAAAAAGAAAGGGACATGAAAACATGTCTGAGGAAATCAGGGTCAGCTTCCAAACAATGTAAAGCTGGCAGCCTATGTAGCTTTCATCCTCCATGTTTTGCCAGTCTGATATTTAAGATAAATGTTGTAGCCAACTAATCAGAGCCAATCATTGGCATCAGATGCAGTCTTACAATGAGCAAAACTAAGCAAGTGTCCCTAGTTGGTAAATTACTTTGAAATCTGTGTTTTTCCATTATGGACCCTATCCTGGAGCCTTAGCATGAGCCATACAGGACAATAATAGGTTTTCTCCTGGTAAGAAATGCAGAATCATCATATTGTCTGTTGCTGTCAGTCACAATCAGAACCTGATCCAAATCCTGTTGAAGTCAATGGACTCTCAATTTCACTAGGCTTCGGACCAGCTCCATAGTGATCCTTTACCTTTTCATTCACTAGGAGTCTTGCTTCTTATTTGAATGAGTGCAGGATGAGGCCCAAAAGCCAGCAAGCTGCTTTGTTAAGTGTAGTTCTAGTCTGAAAAGTGGGACCCACCAAGTCAAAGCAGCACCAGACCCTGGTATAACAGATGCAAAACCTGCAGCCAATACCCCGCATAATACAGCTTTCAAGATCCACAGGTCCTACACATGCCTATCACAATGTGAAGTACCTCATCCAGTGCACTAAATGCCCCACTAACAACAACATGGGTGAAACCAGACAATCACAATGCTCTCAACTGAATGCACACAGAAAAACAATAAAAGACAAAAACATCATCACTCCTGGGCGAACACTTTTCACAAAACAACCACTCCATATCTGGCCTTTCAGTCCTCATCCTAAAGAAAACCTGCACAAGACCTTCAAAAAAACAAGCCTGGGAGCTTAAATTCATAACTTTGCTAGATGCTAAAAGTCATGGTCTTAATAAAGGACACTTGCAACAATCTGTAACCCACTACCCCCCCCTTTTTTTTGTCCTATGAGTGTAGAGGTATTAATGGACCACTTTACCTTGAATGGTCGCTTAGAATATGTGTTAACTATCTATGCTAAACAATCTGTTGTAACTTGTATTTAGGTGTGACGCTGAGTACATATCCCAGACTTGAAGAAGAAATTGGACCAAAAGAAATTGTTCCAATAAAAGATATTATCTCACCTACCTTGTCTCTCTAGGTAAAAATAGCAACAGACCTGCTCCCTATGTTTATTACAATCATAGCTGCTTATTTTAGGGACATAGGTAAGCTTTTACTGCATTTCACTCCTGTTAGCCCTGCAGAACCAACACAGCTAAGAGAGAACAAGCTAGATTATTTTCCTTCTTGTGCACAGTCAGATTTTTAGCATGCAATCCTGCTAATTACAGGTTCAATTAGTTACACCTGTACAAACCCACTGTGGGAGTTGCACAGGTGATAGTGGAGGCAGAACCTCATACAATAGTGTGAGAAAGAAAGAGTCAGTGCATGTTGAATGTGTAGGGCTATGAAAGGCCATCTCTGGACTTGTGAATGGAGCCTATTTGCCTTGGAACCCTGGAGACAGAATAAGCACCTAATTTGAGAGTATTCTTTTTACATAGTCGCTGGTGAAAGCAGTGGCAAACTAGGTGAAAACCTGAAGGAAACCCTCGGGGCTGATTCCTTGATAGGCAAGCAATGTGCTAAAGCTATAGCTTGGTCAACTAGTACTTCAATGGGTATGAACTATTTATCATAGAATCATAGACTTTAAGGTCAGAAGGGACCATTATGATCATCTAGTCTGACCTCCTACACAACGCAGGCCACAGAATCTCACCCATCCACTCCTGTATCAAACCTGTGTCTGAACCATTGAAGTCCAAAAACCAAATCATGGTTTAAAGACTTCAAGATGCAGAGAATCTTCCAGCAAATGACCCATATCATATCACTTGGTATATTTGATGTGGAAAGTAATGGCTTTTTTTCTGTGAATGATATTGAATGTTAAGGTGCTTATTAAAAAGCACCTTTTAGACTGACTCTACCCTGAGGATTAACCACCAGGAGGTAGTGTGGCATAGCAAACAGGCCATGGAAATGTGATTCGGGTACCTGAGCATTATGCTTAGTTCTGTCACTGAGGGTACGTCTACACTACCCGCCGGATTGGCGGGTAGTGATCAATCTATCGGGGATCAATGTATCGCATCTCGATCCCCAAACGCGCTCCCCGTCGACTCTGGAACTCCACCAGGGCAAGAGGCGGAAGCGGAGTCAATCCCGCGCCGCGAGGACGCGAAGTAAGTCAATCTAAGTCAATCTAAGAAACGTCAACTTCAGCTACGCTATTCTCGTACCTGAAGTTGCGTATCTTAGATCGATCCCCACCCCACCCCCCAGTGTAGACCAGGCTTGACTTGTGACATGATCCTGGCAAGACACTCAACCTTTCTCCACTTTGAGATGTATAAGAGAACAGTGCTAAGTGGAGCTATACATTTTTACAGCTGTTTCAAGAGCTTTAGTTAGTCCTTCATTGCATAAAAGCCCACTCTCTAGTATTTAGTATTGAAAGGTGGATAAAGAACTGGTTAAAGGGGAGACTACAATGGGTCATACTGAAAGGTGAACTGTCAAGCTGGAAGGAAGTTACTAGTGGAGTTCCTCAGGGATCGGTTTTGGGACCAATCTTATTTAATCTTTTTATTACTGAACTTGGCACAAAAAGTGAGAATGTGCTAATAAAGTTTGTGGATGACACACAGCTGGGAGGTATTGCTAATACAGAGAAGAACCGGGATATCATACAGGAAGATCTGGATGACCTTGTAAACTGGAGGAATAGTAATAAAATGAAATTTAATAGTGAAAAGTGCAAGGTCATGCATTTAGGGATTAATAACAAGAATTTTGGTTATAAATTGGAGACATATCAGTTGGAAGTAACAGAGGAGGAGAAGGACCTCGGAGTATTGATTGATCACAGGATGACTACGACCCGCCAATGTGATATGGCTGTTAAAAAAGCTAATGGGATGCATCAGGTGAGGTATTTCCAGTAAAGATAAGGAGGTGTTAGTACCGTTATACAAGGCACTGGTGAGACCTCATCTGGAATACAGTGTGCAATTCTGGTCTCCCATGTTTAAGAAGGTTGAATTCAAACTGGAACAGGTACAGAGAGGGGCTACTAGGATGATCCGAGGAATGGAAAACCTGTCTTATGAAAGGAAACTCAAAGAGCTTGGCTTGTTTAGCCTAACCAAAAGAAGGCGGAGGGGAGATATGATTGCTCTTTATAAATATATCAGAGGGATAAATATCAGGGAAGGAGATGAATTATTTAAGCTTAGTACCAATGTGGACACAAGAACAAATGGATATAAACTGGACATTAGGAAGTTTAGACTTGAAATTAGATGAAGGTTTCTAACCATTAGAGGAGTGAAGTTCTGGAACAGCCTTCCAAGGGGAGTAGTGGGGGCAAAAGACATATCTGGCTTCAAGACTAAGCTTCATAAGTTTATGGAGGGGATGGTATGATGGGATAGCCTAATTTTGGCAATTAATTGATCTTTGATTATTAGCAGGTAAATAGGCCCAATGGTTGTAATGGGATGTTAGATGGGGTGGGATCTGAGTTACTACAGAGAATTCTTTCCTGGGTGCTGGCTGGTGAGTCTTGCCCACATGCTCAGGGTTTAACTGATCACCATATTTGGGGTCGGGAAGGAATTTTCCTCCAGGGCAGATTGGCAGAGGGCCTGGAGGTTTTTCGCCTTCCTCTGCAGCATGGGGCACGGGTCACTTGCTGGAGGATTCTCTGCACCTTGAGGTCTTTAAAACACGATTTGAGGACTTGAATAACTCAGACATAGGTTAGGGGTTTGTTACAGGAGTGGATGGGTGAGATTCTGTGGCCTGCGTTGTGCAGGAGGTCAGACTAGATGATCATAATGGTCCCTTCTGACCTTAAAGTCTATGAATCTATTCGCTACTAATGATAAACAGATATATTGATATAATTAGTGAAACTGAGGAGACTTACCTTTTGGTACCCAAATCAGATGCGCTGATAATACCTAACTCTCTTGATCCCTACACCTCAAGGCACATTATTAAGGAAGTAGCATTAGTCCAATTTTCTAGCTGGGGAAATTGAGGCACTGTGAAGTGACTTACCCAAGGTCACAGCAGATTCATGGCAGACCTGGGAATAGAACTAAGTTCTTCTGATTCCTCACCCATTTCTCTAGCCAGTGGGCCTGAGAGCTGAGCTGCATTGATTCAGGGTTTTTCCTAGTTTGACTGATACCACTATAGTGGGATATCCTAGATATTACTGTGACTAAGGCTCTGAGGCAGCTTCAGATATTACACTATTATTGTTTGTTAGGTTTAAACAGTGTAAGCCAGCATTAAATATTTTCGAAAAGTAAGACAAGGATCGTTTCAGTTTGTAGCAACCGAGTGTGAAAAGATACAATAGAAGTATGAAGGGAGAAACTTGGAAGATTGTTTTATATTCAAAGAAACTCACTGAAAGTTGCCTTGGTTCTCTCATCTAGACCCAGAATTGGTCCATGAAATCATTCAAATGCTAATAGTTCAGCTCAAACTAAAGAATCAAGCTTGCACAATTTGTTATGCTTAAGAAATGGAAATTCAATTCGTCATATCATTTGCAGATAGCAATCTCCTTCTAGCAATTGACTTTTGGTTTCACTGACTAAGCAAGGCAGATATGAACAACGTGGTTTTAAGACGCTACAAGACCTTGGATGAGAGCTTAGATAGTTCTACAACAAAAATTAGGCTGTCACTGTAGCAGTCTGACCACTACCAGCTGGTGTTAGTCAACAGCATTAAGAAATCAGATTACAACTCACAAAACAGAGTAGGAGTAAGAACAGAAGTAAAATATCCCTCCTTTTCTAAGAGTGTGCATGCACTGGACTGTGTCTAAAAATCTCTTCATCCTACTTAGTGTCATGATGTATGGTATCAGTCTTAAGCCGAAAGTATGTATTTAAAAAGAACCTGTGCACACTAACAGCCTCTACACAGCCTGATTCCCAGCTTTGTCTACATGATCTACCAGTAATCAGGCCCTGGCTGGAACTTGGAGACAGCTAATGGCAAAAAACTTTACTCACGGTATATTAATTAATTGCACTCATATTTAGTATCATACTCCACAATGGTTCCAGTGGGACTGCTCAAGGAATAGGATACTACTGAATGTGAGTAAGGCTGGCCTAGACCAGGCGTTACCCAGTAAAACTGTTAATGGGGCAATATATCTTTATGTGTTTGGTTACTTATCTATCTTCCCTGTCTGTATCCATACATGTTTCAAGTGGTTCACTTCTACCTCTTCTTATGATCCCTGTGGGAAAAGTCAATCATATATTGGGCCTGATCTGCAGTTGTTTCTCAGGCAAAACTCCCATTCAGAAGTTTTTGAGCATGATTAAGCTTCTTTAATGAACATATTAATCTTTGACTTGTACAGCACCAAGCACTCAGTTGTTTTTATGCTAACCCTTGCATGGTTCTCATTCTCCAATTCAAACTTGCATCCATCTGTTTCTATTTCTCTACTGGTGTCTGCTTTTTATGTACACTACTGCTGTTTCTCCACCACAAGGTGTACATGTATTGGATAGAGGAGAAGTAATAACCTTGCTTTTGCTCTGTGAGCTGAGAATGCAGAGCTGTGATTTTCTGTTCAGCCTCCGCCAGTTGCCTCCTCCCTAGGCCATGGGTTCTGGAGAGCACACAGTCTACATAGATATCCCAGAAGAGCTGAGCCAGGTCCCAGAACAGAGCCCCATGCTTCAAGTTCTCTGATGACTTCAGGAAGATCATAAAGTCCCAAAAGCCACTGACTGAGTCAGAAATACGTGGCTTCCTCATCTCCAGCAAGGCAGCTGTGGAGAACTCCCAGCACTGGGGATCAGCTCGGCCAAGGGCCAGTGGATCATTTTGGCTGTGGCAGAAGAAAGGAGTCACACAAAACACTCCCATGATTAACAGAGAGCAGATAAGTCTCACGGAGTGAATTCTTCCTCTGTTCCCAGGATCCATTGTGTCACTGAAACTTCACAAAAACAGAAGAAGTTGAAAAATTGTCTAACCTTCATATGTTACTGGGTTAAATGAAGGAATGGGATGGGTGAAATCAAATCCTACAGCCTGTGTTATACAGGAGGTTGGCCTAGATAATAGCATTGGCCCCTTCTGGCCTTAAGCCTGGTGTGTACTTTGTTTGTTAATTCAATTCCATTATATTTGATATAAACATCCAAGTTTATTACCCGAAAGCTAAATCCACTAAACTCATTCAAGACTTCTTCTTATCTAAAACAGCAGTTTGTCCCCTGATGTAAATTGGCCAAGAACACCGCCTTAAATAGGAATATTTTACAAAGTATATTTCTTTCAGAACATTTCCAAAATAATGTTTAACTGTGTGTATATATTATTTTTGGAAAGGCTCTGGAATGAAGTGTGCAGGTCATATTAAATATACACCCTTGTAACAGATGACTCAATGACACTTTCCTGTTGAGCTAGAATCATGAAATTTGATACTTACATGTTTATATGCTACAAAGAGAAACTATCTGAAATCTAACCTTCCCATCAGCTGTCACCAAAAGATCACCACTCTAGTCAATTTCATCCACTACATGCTCTTGCATCTGTATTAGGAGATAACAGTTTACCAAAAAGAAAAATCCTCATAACTTCTACTGTGAGTTGATCATGCTGCTAGAGGTCACCATTTCTATTGCAGACTCTGTCCATGAAATAGTCCATAAATGTTTTTTTGGATGGGTGATCAAAGCTGCTTTTCCAAGTATTGCAGCTAGTTATATCACTTGCCCCGATTGCTGCAGGGAATAATTGGATATTTTATCTCAGGGAGCCAAAGCTAACTTCTGAAACTACGTCTAGGTACAGCATAGCTTTGTATAGCTAGGCCTCTTCCATGCCTTTGAGGGTACAGAGGGTCCTGGACAACATAAACAGTGCTGTTCTGCTGTGTAAGGGGAATGGATGGAATCGGGGCTGGTCATGCAAGGGGATATACACTTCCGGCCTAGCATGCAGCTTTAGCGGGGTGCAGGGAAAGAACAGGGGTGCTGATATTGGACCCTCCCTCCATTGGAGGGTGTCTGCTAAGACCTCTTAGGAGAAGTTCCATGTCTTGGGACTAAGATTCCTCCCCCAGCATTCAGCCCTGCTACTTGGTTTGGGTACAGGAGGATGGGGAGGGAAGGAGGAGAGAGAGAGAGGAGGAGGGGTATTTACACCCTAATGAGACTTAACATTTTAGAGATTTACAGCAATTTATAAAGTGAATTAGGTGCCCATAAAAAACTCTAGTTTGATAACCCTGGATCTGAAGTCCTACATTTTATCAACAGAAAAAGGGCAACACAAGCTTTCCTACACCGTCCTGCAGCTGTAAGAAACCCTGCCCCCAATGAAGTGCCAGGCCAGCTCACACCACGATGGTGGTAGTTTTATGAAGTTGATGCCTGTCTAATACAAACTGGACCCTCCTCATCTTCAGCCTGAGACTGAAGCTACCCGGTCTCCAAGAGCACCTCCTGCCCTATACTCTATTGCTGTAGGTATGTGTTGATTGAATACTCTTTATGGTCAGTCTCCACAGCTGAGCTTTGGTGGTGATCTTAGGATGCTTTCAATGAGGCCCTTCCCCATTACCACTCCCCCTCTTACTATGTAGTGCAGGGTTCGGCAACCTTTCAGAAGTGGGGTGCCGAGTCTTCATTTATTCACTCTAATTTAAGGTTTCACGTGCCAGTAATACATTTTAATGTTTTAGAAGGTCTCTTTCTATAAGTCTATAATATATAACTAAACTATTGTTGTATGCAAAGTAAATAAGGTTTTTAAAATATTTAAGAAGCTTCATTTAAAATTAAATTAAAATGCAGAGCGCCCCGGACCGGTGGCCAGGACTCAGGCAGTGTGAGTGCCACTGAAAATCAGCTCACCTGCTGCCTTTGGCACGTGTGCCATAGGTTGCCTACCCCTGATGTAGTGCAATCTGTACCATTTGCTCTGACTTTGTCAACTTCAAATCTAGTCAGTTAAAAAAAAAAGCATGAATTTAAAGTATCAGAGGGGTAGCCATGTTAGTCTGGATCTGTAAAAAGCAACAAAGAGTCCTGTGGCATCTTAAGGACTAATAGATGTACTGGAGCATAAGCTTTCGTGGGTGAATGAATTCACCCACGAAAGCTAATGCTCCAACACATCTGTTAGTCTTTAAGGTGCCACAGGACTCTTTGTTGCTTTTTTCATGAGTTTAAAGTCATTAAGGTGCTACATCTGCCTCTGATTCCCCTAACAATATTTGGCTTTATTTACACTTTATTTTCTAAAAAAACCCTCTCATTTAACAGGAAAGAGCCACACAACCAAAAGCTGTGTAAGAGATTGACCATAATGCAGGCTACATAGTGAACTGATTAGATAAAAATGTACAAAATAGCTAGTTCTCTTAACCTGTAAATCTCACAGCACTTTACAAAGTAGGTGTATCTTTATCCCTGTTTTATAGATAGGGAAACCGAGTCACAAGTAGGCCAACTTACTAGGCCTCAATGCTTCCCCATAAAGAGAGTATTTTTCTCCTTCAGTTCTAGTAATCTCAGATGCTGCCAGTAATATAAATACTTCATGCAGAAGTGTGATAGTTAAGTTGATGTCCCGTTAAGGGATGTGCTGTCATCTCGGTGGAGAGCAATCTGATGTACATAGCCATACTGATCAGCCATTGTAACACCTGTTTAGTTTTTGCACTTGGAAACTCTTCCATAAGTCTACATTAGCCTACATTACCCACGAGACAGCAATTAAATAAGTACTCTTTGGTCACTACCACCCTGGGCTAATTTTAATTGATGATTTAGAGGTAAATTGCTTTATCTATTCCCAAAAAGCCAGTCCCATCCAGATGATGGATGTAAACTAAGATATACGAGTCTTAGTAGCTTCATTTGTTTGGGAAAAAATGGTGAATATTTTTACATTTTTTCAGAAATGTTCATGGAAAATTTCAACCAGCTCTAAAAATAACTGGAGGAAAATTCCCTGAAGTCTAGTCTTTACATGGAGTTCTGATTACCCTCCACCCTAAACATGCTGTTTGCATCCTCTAGGACTTTCTTTCAAATCCTTCCATTATTTTGAAATTTAGAAAAACTTTAGGAAGAGAGAATGGTTTGTGTTATATATTTCAGCCTATTAACTTGTAGCATCCATATAATATGATTCAGATAAAAGAAGTGAGATCCTTTTATCAGCCTAGACACTGAACATAACAAATACTTACACTTAAATCAAATCTCATAAAATGAAAATATTGAGAAAACCATCCCTAGTGATAACAGGGAAATATTCACCAAATACTCTCTTGACAAATTCTGTTGGTAGCTACAGCTCATTGAAGAGCTAGATGATTTCATCAGAGAAGATGCCCTCTTCCAAAATGGAAAGATTTGGGGCCAAATTTTATAGTAGCATAAATCCCCATAGCTATTGCAGCTTAACTGGAGTTAAGGTGCTTGTCCCCAGAGTAATTGCTCTTTTGGCCCTTTGGCGTTAAAGGTATTTCTGAGGTGATCTTTTGTTCTGGCTTCTACTCAGAGCATGCATTTATATGAAGAGGGTCTTTGCCTCAAGCGCAGAGTACTCTACCTTCTCCATAAACAGCAAAGGGGTTGAGTATTTAGTTGTCAGCCAAGTGACAAGAGTTGTATGCAAGTTGTATAGTGTAGATTGCAGCTTCTCATCGGTGTGTTTATTTTCCCATGAATGGTTAAACAGTGCTGCTCAAAATGTTCCCATCGACCTACACTAAATATGTCTGGTCAGAAGTAGTGGCTGTCTACATTGCAGTAGCCTTTTGCAATAGTTCAATATTTTAAGACTCCAGAGCCCGAGGTCAATAAATCTAAACCGAAGGAACTGGTCTATACTGGCCCCCGGGATCGAGATGGGACAAACACCCAGCTCTCGAGAGGCCGTGCGTGGGGAAGTGGGGTGAAGAGCTGTGTGTGCACATCCACGTCCCGCGTTTGTCACCTTTAGCATAACGCCAGCACTAGAACAGCAGGCGAGTGCTGAGCGCGGGCGAAGGGCAGACTTCCTAGCCCGGGGCAACGAGTTGCTTCAGCTGCAGGTTTCCCCCCAGCGGGTGCATGTTTCCCGTCCCCCGGGAGCGAAAGCTGTGTCCAGCCGCCCCCTGCCCAGGCGGGGCTCGGTGCCGCTCCTTGCGGGGCTGCCGGCGAACACCCGCGGGCTCTCCTGGGCGAGCCCGGGGCCAGCAGGCGCTACGGGCGGGTGCAGCTACCGGGCTCCCCGCCCTGACACAGGCTGTTTGCGGCCGTGGCACCACCCCGCAGCGCCTAGCCGGAGCGGAGCCGTGAGGGCAGCCGCGGGGAGCCCCGAACGGGGACACCCGGAGCCAGGCGCCAGCTGCGCCCTGAGGCTTCCGTCCCCTGTGGCGCGCGCCGCTCCCGGGGCCCGACCGGCGCTGTCCGGGGTGCTGGAGTCTGTCCCGTGCCCCGCAGCCCCTTACCTCCGCCAGCCGCCGAGTCCGACTCCAGCCCGGTGGCGCCCGGCTCCCGTCGCTGCCCGGGCTTGTGGCGGCTCCCGTCGCTCCTTAAGAAGGGGGGCGCGCGGTCCCTCTAGGTTACGTCAAGGCTCCTGGGCGAAGCCCCCCCCCCCTCCTTCCGAGACAGGCTCCGGTCAGCTGCTGCTTCAGCCCCGCGGAAACCCCCGCCCCCGCCCCCACGGGGCTCGCGCCCGCCACAGTCCGCCCCAGACACCTCACACTCCCCCCTGCGCCCCGGGGGGGGGGACTCCCAGCCCGCCACAGCCCGCCCAAGGCACCTCAGACTCCTGCCCAGCGCCCGGGAGGTGGGGGACTCGCAGCCCGCCACAGTCCGCCCGAGACACCTCACACTCCCCCCTGCGCCCGGGGGGTGGGGGACTCCCAGCCCGCCACAGTCCGCCCCAGACCCGTTGGGACGTGACAATCGATCCCCGAATCGGCGCTCTTACTCCACCAGCGGAGGTGGGAGTAAGCGCCGCCGACAGAAAGCCGCAGAAGTCGATTTTGCCGCCGTCCTCACAACGGGGTAAG